TGCCACCCTAACRGGTTGGCCATTGATGGTCTAGTTTTTAAGTATTTATATGTTTGCTAGATGTTTTAATTTTCTCTTCTCTAAACTGTCTGTTTAGATCCATTTCTTTTGAGTTGCTGTCTGTTATTAATACACTAATGTCTTTATATATCAGATGTATTAACTCTTTGTCAAAAGTGYAGAAAATATTTACTGCAATGTCTTGTCATATATGGTTTAGACATTTAAATTTATTAAGGAAAATCTTCCTCGAGCTATYTTTTAAATTTTTCTTGTCTGACTTAGATACTTCTTCTGTCATAAAACTAGTTATATTATTCTACCCGATTTTTATTGAATTTCAGATTGCAAATGCAGCACCCATTCAGGCGGACCAGTGTTCTAAAATTATTTCATTTACGACTAGGGAGGCAGCTCAGTGTGCTGCCTAGGATGTTCAAGGCATGGGTTCCATTCTCACACCTAACTGGAAACATTTTATATATCTCCAGTTACTTGATCTCATTTCATTTGTTTCCATAAGCTACTGTGTTCTTCATGTAGATCTCCAATCTTTCAGATATTTATAAACATGTGTATATTTGCTATTGTGTCTGAAGTATRGCTTCTTTTCCATTTATATTGTCTCAAATAAAAAATCTCTAAGTTTTAGAGATCTATTTTTTATTCATGATCCTTGGCAAATGCTTTTTCCAGTTTCATGGGTTTTGACTAGATTTCTATGAATATAATTACAAGGCACATAAGGTTGTATGTACAGCAATTGACTACTTATGCGAATTGCTTCATTTTGATATCTATGTGTTAGTTAAAACTTCTAAAATATATTTAAAATAATGGTGGTAATRATAAGCAGCACCAACTTTTTTCTGYTTAACTTATTTCATTTAATATCTACTATAATACGTGCTGATTTAGGAGAATCTGTATTGGATTGATTTCATTTCATGTAGATATTTTCCCGAGTCTTGTCAGAGTCCCTCTGAAAATCATTATGGATGTGCATATACATCTTCTCTCTTCTGTTTGYTGTAAAGTTATTTCAGGATCTTTGCTTTACCCATTCTCATTGTCAGCATTTTTCTCATTCTTTTCAAGAAGTTCTAACTGCAAGTTTAATTTCATCTTTGACCTAACATAGTGTTTTCTTTTATARAATCTTAAGTAATTAATTTTATTTAATATGAAATCTGTATAGCTCCTATTGATTATAACTTATTGAGACTTCTTTTGTGGCTAAGATCATGATCAGTATTGATATGTATATTTCAAGGATATTGGAAACARTGATGGGTTATCTGTTATTAAATCACAAGATTAACTAATAAATCATTCTTACTAATAGAGTCTATTTATTTTGTACATTTTTTTCCATGTGTGAAGAGTAAACATTGAGAGGTGAACTGTTTTCCAATGTYCATAAAACATTGGTCCAGTGGTCTGCTTTCTGAATTCTGCTTGGCCATTGATACGTGCACCCTTGCCTTTTGCTTTGTTTGTGGTTGCATGCTACAGCTTTGCTCCTCTTTCATTTTAACAAATTTCACATTTCCTTGTCTTGGTTGTGACTTCTATTTGGATTCAAGTTTTTTGATTTTGTGCCTTTCACCATCATCATTTTTCAACTATAGTGTTATAAATGTGTATATGTATGTGTGGTTCAGTAATGGGGATCCATTCTGCAAAATGTATCACTGAGCAATTTTGTTGTGAAAACTGTAGACTATACTGTACTTACACAGGCTAAGAGGGCTCAGTGTCCACTAGGTGGTACAACATTATGGGACCACTGTCGTATGTGTAGTTCATTTTTGATGGAATGTCACTATGTGGTGCATGACTGTGTGTGTGTGTGTGTGTGTGTGTGTGTGTGTGTGTGTTTGTGAGAGAGAGAGACAGAGAGAGAGAGAGAGAGAGAGAGAGAGAGAGAGATTTAGTGGCAATAACGAATGTTTTTTCTTCAAATTAGTAACAAAGAAAAAGTTCACTTTCATAACTTGCACATTATATTTAAATGCATAAATAGTACATTAGGATAAGAAAAAGAAATAATTGTTGTAAAAGAAGTAAAATCATTTTTATTTGCTGATGACATTATTATTTTCTAAAAAATTCAAAGGACATCTATAAGTTCTTCAATAGAACTAATACCTGAACTTAGCAAAGTCATAAATAAATGTCTAATATTTTTAACCAGTTCTGTTTCCATAAAATACAAATTATTTTAAACTAACACCATTTAAAATAGCATTGAAAAGAACAAAATAGCTAGAAATAATTTAATGAAAGAAGTRCATGACTGCTATGCTGGAAACCAAACAGTGATGGGAAAAATAAGTGGAGAGGCATATAATGGAACAGGTTGGAGRCTCAATATTGTTAAGATGTCATTCTTGCARATATGTTAATAGGCTCACTGCAAACCCAATAAAAATCCAAAGGGCTTTTCTTATAGACACTGACAAATGGATTCTACAGATTCTTGGGGTGTTAGTCAGCTTTTGGTGACTGTACCAAAATACCTGACAAGAACAACATAGAGGAGGAAAGATTTATTTTGGGCTCATTGTTTCATAGGTTTTGTCCAAGGTCAGTTGACTCCAAGTAAAACAGAATGCCATGGTGAACGCRTGGTGGTAGAGCAAAGCCACTCAGCTCATGGGACCAGGAAGCAGTGGGGAGGGGGCTGCAGGAAGATATRACCCCAGAACACRCCTCCAGTGACCCACCTCCTCCAGCCACGCCCCACCTGCCTACCACCACCACCCAGTCACTAATTAGTCCAATCATGTCACCTCTGAACATTCCTGCATTAACACAGGAGCTGTTGGGGGACACCTCACATCCAAACCATAACACAKAGAAAACAAAGATGTGGAAAAGTCAAGACAGTTCTTCATAGCTGAATTCAAGACTTTCTTTAAGCTGCAGTGTTCAAACCAAAAATGTCACTGGCATAAGAAAAGACAGATAGACCAATGGTACAGAGTAGAAAATCTAGAAATAGACACGCTTAAACTACAGATTGATTTTTGAATTTTTTATGACCTGGTAATGGGCAGATTTCTTACACAGAACACTAATTAGCCATAAAAAATATGAATAGATTGGACTTCTTCAAAATTAGGAATTTCTTCTCATCAAAGGACATAGTTAAGAAAACGAAAAGCAAGYCAAAGATGAGGGGAATCTTCACAATACGTAATTCAGACAGATATTTCTATCCAAAATAAAAAGCAAATACCTATGCATTGATAAGTAAAAGATGACCCAATAATACAAGTGGGCCCACCTCACAAAAGAAAATATATGAATTTCAGAAAAATACATGAAAATGTACTGTACATGATTAGTCACTAAAGAAATATGAATTAGAACTGGAATGAGATACCACATCACACACACGAGCAAGGCTAACGTTAGAGGGTCTATTTCTAATAGTCCTTGAAAAACAGCTTGAAAAGTTGTAAAGTGCTTAAACATATTCCTAAGCAATCCCCCACAGTCTCTTTCCTAGGTAATGAAAACATTTTGCCATAAACAGACTTCTACAAGAACAGCAGTTTTATCCATTCCAGACTCAAACTGGAATGGATCCAAATGTCCATCAGCAGGAAGTTGGATGAGCAGATTGTGGTCGGTTCACACAATGGAAAATCATTCCACAATAAAAAAGACACAAACTCCTGCTAAACGACAGTAGACACTAAAGCAGAGACAATGTTCTTTTCCATTTATGGGAAACCCCAAATGGGCAAAATTAGCAGGTGGTGATAGAAATTCCAGCAACGTTTGTCCCTGGGAAGCGGCGCTGACTGTGGTCAGCTCACGGTTTGAGGGGTGAGGCATACTGTTCTGTTTTGATCTCTCCAACAGCACGTCACCCCATGACTCCTTCGCAATCTCCGCTGCGTCTTTGGGGCTCGTGGGACACACTAATTGCTTTTTGAGCTCTGGGTGCATCTTCTACCACAACAGCAATGAGCACTCCTCTGCCTAGTTTTTGTCTTGAGAAGTTTTTCATCATCCTCTGCCATTCTCTTTGTGTTATGAATCTAATGCTTCATCGTTTAAGTATCTTAGTTTTAGTAAATGAGAAGATGAATAGTTCTCTTCAGTCTGTGATCTCTAACCAGAAACTTTGTTCACAGGGATTTAAAACAAGGGGAGTTGGTGTTTCCATGCCCTGCTGCACATTAGGTCCTGGGAAGTGTGCACAGGTCTCTTCTGGTTTGACAAAGAAAGCTTTGGGTTTTCACAACATTTAGAAACACCGAGAAGTTGATTAAAACACTCTTATTAGAGCAATAAAATCATCAACTATGAATCAGAATTAAAGAGTCAGAGTTCAAATTGTTTTCACAGGAAATGAATAATGTCTGAGATTCAAGTTGCCTAAGAAGAGTCAGTGTTCATGACAATAGCACRTGAGACAGATTTGTAGTAAGTCAAAGTGGAACCTGATGTCCCAGGAAATAGCTTTGAGATTCTTGGAAATTCCCAACTTACCATATGGTTATCATCATTTTTGTTACTATCATTGTCACACATTTATGAATTGATTTGTGGCATAGGATGATATTTATCTCTTAATAGCTATAAGTCAAAGAGGGGACATTTTGTTTTTATTTTTCTGAGATTTATTCTCTTTTAGTTGTTAATTAAGATGTACTTTCAAGGTTAGATTTTGTTTTTCTTCCATTGTTTTTCATTCTCTATGGATGGCCTGCTTTATCTCAATTTTGCACGAATTTAAATTTTTATTTCAGAAATAGTCTTTCTTTGCAAAGGCTTTGATCAGGGAAGGACTTTGTAAGYTTTTTAGATAAGGCTTTCATCGTCTCCGTGCTTTCTTCCATTGTTTCATCCCATCTATCTGGGTAACTCTATCCGGACCACCTATTTAATATATGTTGGTTCTTCATAGCCCAATCTTCATGTATAAGATCCTCTACAAGCATCTCGGAATCTTGATTTCCCATGGTATTCTTTTCCCTTAGGATGTCCACGGAAGAGCAGAGTGTAGACGACAGTACCATCTATGAGGTTATATTCCATCACTTCAAAAGACACAAAGTGGAGATTTCAAATGCCATAAAAAAGACATTTCCTTTCCTCGAGGGCCTCCGTGACCGTGAACTCATTACCAATAAAATGTTTGAAGTAAGTGAAGTTTATTATGTCACAACCTGGTAAACAAGCCCCAAATTAAGTTATGCTTACCTTTCATGCAGTATGATTCATACAATATAACATAAAGTAAAAATTTAAGATAATTGTAGTGAATTGATAAATGATCTTATTGAATTGATTTGTTGAAATAGCAGTAAGCACAACATTTTATTTCAACTAACATCAAAATACTTAGGTCTAAGAACATTAAAAKCCAATGGCAATTGGTGTGTTGTTAGAATGAATTTAAGAGTGGATGATTGATTGCTGTTATATCTGCAACATCTTTTAACAAGCTTTCTTTTCTTTTTCTTTTTTTTKGGGGGGGGTACTTCTGGAGTCTTGGAATTGTGATCAATCTTTGGTCGTTATGGAGATACAGAGCATTGACTCTTTGTTTTCCCCTATGAATGTGCTTTCTCGTGGCCAAGTTCATAGTAAGGAGGAATGGTCACTTGATTTCCTTGAGCCCTTCAGGCCAAGTCAGAACTGGGGGAAGTGCAGGGGTTGTCCAGTCAATGGATCAGCCCTCATCACCTGATAAGTCTATTCCCAAAGCACATTGGCCAGGCTCTTTAGAGGGCTACATGTCAGTTAACTCTGAACCCACTTTCATCTTTGCTCTTTCTTACATTAAATGTAAATAAGGATGAGGAGATCAGCCTTACCATTGGGTATTTTTTAAGAGATAGGATTTACTTGTTTCATTTAGTAGCTATCCAAATGTACAAAAATTCTGAAGCTTTACGTGAGATGATACCTATGTAGAGAAACTGAAATGCATTAACTATAAAATTACTTTSTAGCATTCTTTTGTAACGTAGAAGTCTCTATTTAAATTTTTTCCATTCACTTCTTTTTAAAGGATTCTCAAGAGTCTTGTAGAAACCTGGTCCCTGTACAAAGAGTGGTGTACAATGTTCTCTGTGAACTGGAGAAGAAGTTCAACCTGGATTTATGCGAAGCATTGTTCAGTGAGGTCAACTTGCAGGAATACCCTGATTTAATTCGTGTTCGTAGAAGCTTCGAACATGGTAATTAGATATATTACCACATTTTGGTTTTTTTTTTTCAATTCTTTTTTTAATTTTTATTGGTTGTTCACAACATTACAAAGCTCTTGACATATCATATTTCATACATTAGATTGAAGTGGGTTATGAACTCCCAATTTTACCCCAAATGCAGATTGCAGAATCACGTCGGTTACACATCCACAATTTTACATAATGCCCAATTAGTAATTGTTGTATTCTGCTACCTTTCCTATCCCCTACTATCCCCCCTCCCCTTCCCTCCCATCTTCTCTCTCTACCCCGTCTACTGTAATTCATTTCTCTCCTTGTTWATTTTCCCATTCCCCTCACAACCTCTTATATGTAATTTTGTATAGCAATGAGGGTCTCCCTTCATTTCCATGCAATTTCCCTTTTCTCTCCCTTTCCCTCCCATCTCATGACTCTGTTTAATGTTAATCTTTTCTTCCTGCTCTTCCTCCCTCTCTGTTCATAGTTGCTCTCATTATATCAAAGAAGGCATTTGGTATTTGTTTTTTAGGGATTGACTAGCTTCACTAAGCATGATCTGCTCTAGTGCCATCCATTTCCCTGCAAATTCTATGATTTTTATATTACCACATTTTGAGGTCCGGGGTCAATTTTCTTTTTCAACAAACATATCTGAAGCTTCCACCACATGCAAAAAGGTCACGTGCCATGGGCTATGGTAGTTAATAAGTCAGACGTGTCAGGTGCTAATGACAGAATGGCTGTTCAGTAAGCACCACTGGATGTCTGTTCAGCTGGGTTTTTAGACTCAGGGCAGCCAGAGTCATAYTGGTGCCAGGTTTACTTTAAAAAGCATAGAACTAGAAACAAAGTCCCAAGTGGGATGTATGACCCTGTCTCTTCAGTGGAAAACCTTTCAGTRGACTACATAGAAGTCCACCAAGTTCACTACTACACACCTTGAGCGACTGCTTAGCTCTGGGTGCAGGGTCCACCCTGAGTTAGCACCACATGCCCATGGAATCAAGACCTCTTGGAATTCCAAAGTCCTGGTTTTCAGGTAGCCCACAGGGGACAAGCCAAGTAATGAATCACCGCTGGAGGAAGACCTTCATMATCTTGTAGCTTTCTACAGGAATTAGTAGTCCCTCTCAGGCAACTAGTCATGGGTCATGTTTAACTCTAAAGCCCAGTGTTTGCCTAGTAGCCCAGCTGAAAGGCCACTTTTTATYAGGTTTCCAGAGTAACGAGTTAGAAAGGTAATCCTGGGCCAAACTGTCCAAAAAGAATGAGAACTGGTTTTGTTAACTCTCTAATCAAAAGGGGCAAAACATATATTAATCAAATATTCAACATGGATTCTTGGTGTTTTGCAAAACTGAAGATTTGATGCTTCACTTTTTCCAAGAAGGCACGATTCATACTTTTATTAGTATGCAATAAAAAGGATGCCTCCCATTTTTGTTTGTTTGGTTGGTTTTGTACTTGCATAGACAATTTTTTTTATTCCAACAGTTTGGTCTCAACCTAGTTCTCAAAATATAAGATAGAGACATCACAAGTAGAACAGACACATCCCCTGAAGAGGAGAGGGAATAGGTGTGCAAAAGTATGTCTGTGAAACTGGCAAATTGGATTTGGCTGAATTTGAGAGTGAGCAGCAATGTAGGAACCAACTCTAGTGAGATAAATCCAAGGGAGGCTGCRAAGGTTGAATGCCAAGAAGTTGAAGTTTACTTCCTAGGCAATAAGAGATATGACAGGTTTATAAACCAGGGTGAAAATGTAAAAGCAGGGACCTATGTCTAGTTGAGGTGTGTCAGTAGTTACCTTATATAATAAAGAACAGAATAATTTCTCTGGCAGGTCACAAAGGAGATTGAACACCCGGGCACCAATGGAAAGTCACTATTCTATTTATAATAGGACGGCCCGCAGGCTGGAGCTACAAGAGGAACAGTGTTACCTTCACTGCCCACTTCCCAGGGGCTTCGACCTCTTTCTRCATCGCAGACACCCCCTCTCTGGCCTTAGCACCCACATCTCCTGTGTTTGTTTCCAGTACTCCCAGTGCTTGGGTGATCCAAGCCTAAAGTTCATGGCCAGGGTGGCAGCACCGCCCCCACCCACAGCACAACCAGCTCACCTGTCCTTAGGGGACATGCTGCCACCTCCTGATGGGCCCTGATGTCCCCTCCATCTGTCCCTGTGTCTTGTATACTCCTTTGGAAACTATTCATCCTGCCTGACCCTCTTCAGCCCAAGCCCCCCTTGTTTCTGGCCCTATCTTTAAAGCCATTGGGACTTCCCCTTTCATACACTGATCTCTCCAAGGTCCCAGACTCTCTGAACAGTTTATTCCTACAGTTCAAACAGTTCAGAAAAGACATTTCACTTCTATTATTTATTTTGAAATTTGCCTTGCTATCCTCTGAATATTTTTTAGAGRAGTATCTCAGCTTACAGTGTATCCCCTCCCACTGAGTATCTCCTTAGTGTGTGGGAAGCATAGACTCCTTTGTGGGAGTCTCCTCTTTTTTGTCCCAGGGTGGGAAGGTGAACTGTGTCATGTGGGATTCACTGAACTCTGCGTAACTGGGGGACTGGAAATTCTTAAATGTATAATTTCGAGATGRTATACCTGGTCCCTGCCGGAGATCTCTAATTGCCTTCTTTTCCCTCCCTTTCTTCAGAGGTGAGAATGCTCTATCCCCAAGAAGATAATGGAGAAGAGAGGCAGGAAAGGCTTGAACAAGGTAATTACACCTGGATAAAACATTTCTCATCTGCTCAAAAGAAAAGGAAACAAGGGCATTGTGCAGTAGAGACTGTGAACCAGGGAAGAAATGTGGAAGGACGATGGGGATGGTGATTTGTATGGACCTTGTGTTAGTCGACTTTCTGTCACTGTGACAAAACACGTGAGAGAAATCAGCTTAAAGGAGGAAAGATTTATTGTGGTCCGTGGTTTCAGAGGTTTCAGTCCACAGTGTCTTGGCCCCATCATTGTGGGCCTGTAGTGAGGCAGAACATCATGGCAGAAGTGGAGCCAAGGTGCTCAACTCATGGCAGCCAGAAAGCAAAGAGAGTCTAGGGGCACATTGTCCCATTGGACTGACTTCCTTCCATTAGGCCCCACCTCTTAAAGTCTCCACTAGCTCCCATAATGCCTTGGGGGATCAYTATAATCCCAACCCTAACTGGCCCCAACAGGATGTGGGATGCTGGGAAATAGCATGACCAGAGACAGCCAGGCCAGCACCCATGAGGAAGGAACCAGAGCTCAGTGGGCCAGGAAAACAGATTTAAGGAGACTGACTACCAGGAAGTAATTGTGATTTAGGAAGGTCCCCGCAGGAGAAGATTAGTATGAAGCTGTGAAGGGCTAAGAAAAATGACCCATGGCCAACATGAAGGAGAAGGACCCTTAGCAAAAGAAAAACAATGGTTCTACCTGTGCCTTCCACAGCACTCGACACCTGCGGGGTGGAAGTTCTCCTTACACCAACCAAACTCCAGTTCTCTGCAGACACCCATGGGGTGTCCTGTAGTTCGCACAGCCCACAGGTGGAGGACCATGCTCCATAAGACCATCCCACTTGTCACTTGCAAGTTCCAGGGTGTGACCTCTGTTTCTGACCAACTGACTRTAAATTGGAGGCCTCACAACCYCTCCTTGGGTTGGATGGTTTGTTAGTATGGATCACAGAACTCAGAGAAGTTTTTACTGATGTTCACCCATTTGTTTAAAGGGTACAACTCAGTCAAACGGAAGAGATGTACAGAGCAAAGTAGTGGAGAGGGGCAGAGAGCTCACATGCCCAGCCTTGGCACCGCACTCTCCCAGCACCGCTGTGTTGGCCAATCCACAAGTTCTCTGAACCCTGTCATTAGGGATCTTCTTTTTCCTTCTAGAAAACCCACTATACTGACAGGCACGATGGATGAAATCATTGACCACTGATAGAAGTCAACTTTATCCCCTCTCCCCTCCCTGGAGGTCAGAGCCTTCAACCTTCTAACCACTCTCAGTTCCTTCCATCTTAGGAACATTCCAAAACTCACCTCTTTAGCATAAACTCAGGTGTTAATGAAAGGGACTGGGCAGAGCAGGGAAGGTCTCGTGAGGTGAGATCTGACTCCCAGGGGCTGGTAAGAACGTCGAGGTGTCATAGCGGGGTTTAGGGGTTTACGCTGCTGGAGAGCGTACAGAGCTGGTAAGGCCGCCCATCCTGGTCATGGCCTGGTGGGTCGTCATATCAGGACTGGTTCTGTGGCTCTCTGAGGAAGTCATCCTTCTCAGGGGGACAATTCAGTTCCCATCCAAAGATGATGGCTGCTGCTTAGAGAGCAGCCGCCATTCTAGTCCAGGGTTCATGGCTCCTAGTTGGGGCAGGGGGCAGCCTCCTTGTACCTACAAGACTTGCTATTTCTGGGAGGTTTAGGGCAATGACTGCAAAGTTCTAGGCATGGCTCAGGCAGTAGAGAAGAGAATGTTGTAAAAGCCGGCAGTTGCCAATCTGTTAATTATAATGTCCTTTCAAATTTTGAAAATACCTGAATTAATCTTACCTTGGTGCCTTCAGCCGCAAAGAGAAATACCAGTTTTAGTTGAACACTCCTGAAATGATTGTCATGCTTGTATGTAGAGTTGAGCAAGAGGAGAGAGAGACAAAATGAGGGCATGGACGCCAAATTTTCATCCTGCTTTTAGTTACCTGTTGGGCATCTGCAAGTCCAAGAGAAGAGTCAGGGCTTTTAGCAAAAGCAGCCTCTAAGGTCCTGTTGTAATTAGAGAYGGTTATCACTAAAAGGTTAGCCCTTGTTATAGAGGAGGAAATTGAAATCTAGAAGCCACATATGGAGTTTGCCTGGGGTCAAAGGAGCAAGGGAAAAGGATTCTTAGCCCCATGTTGCTGCCCGGATTGTCTAATGAAAAAGGCAGAAACATGAAACCAAAGTACGGAAGAGATGCAGACAGAAAGATAAAGGAAACAGAGGATGCCAGGAGAGGGAGGGAGTGAGGCAGACCAGTGGCTGATCCCCACTGGAGGCCACCAAGGAGGAGGCAG